AAACACATCATTGGGCAAGCTGTCTGGACCAGCAGCCTTGCCTCTCGGGAGCCGCCAAAATGCTCTCTGAAACACTTGGCGCGGCATCACGTTGTCCAGCTTCCTAGGCACGGTGTCCGCAAAGACTGAGCCTCTCCTACTATACTGCTGAAAAATCTCCTCTTTGGTCGACTGCGCAGCTTTTTCTATCTCTCCGAAGCGTTTTTGGAGGTCGTTGGCGTCTTCCTCTGGGGTAACAAGGGCCCCCCGGGGCCCCCCCTCAGGAGAGAGCCTCAGGGGGGACATCAGTTCTTGCGTGTGTATTTTCCCCCATGAGTCAGAAGCTGTCTGGTCAATCTCCATTCAGCCTGCGAGACTCTGCCATCTATGGCAACATTTATCTTGTCGGCGTGCTGCTCAAGAAAAAGGGTGTAGTCACCATCCAGCGACTGCAGCAGCACCTCACTCGATGCCCTCATGAAGCGAACCAGACCCAAGATTAACTCAAAGGTGTCCAGTTTCTTCCACACAAAGCTCGAGGTCAGTTCTCCAAGCTGCATCCAATCGTGGCCAATCCTTCCCCATAAGTCGCCAGAGAACACTTCAGCTTATTCCCCCGCCTTGCGAAGCTCCCCTTTCCTGATGCTCTGCGCCAAGTAGAACAGGGAGTTCACATGTTTCTCAGCTCCCCCCTGCTTGCGGATTTTTTCCGGAACCTTTTGAATGCTTCTCCTAACTCTGATCAGCCAGAAGGTCGCCTCCTGGATGTAGGGCTTCCGTGGTCTCACCGCTTCCTTGGCAAAGGAGGCTTGGGCAGCTTCCTTGACTTGCTTGTTAGCTTCGTCAAGATGGTCATTCAAATCAACACTCCATTCAGGAAGCTCAGCCCTAGATATCCTTTCCTTAAAGTCCCTGATACACTCAGGGTCGCCCATTTTCATAGAATCAAGACTGGAGCCCCTCCTAGATTTCTGAGCAACGTCCTTGGCCCAGCAAAGCCTGGCCGACACTGGACAATGATCGTCAGCTCTCCTGATGAGATCGATCCCGTGATCGACTTCTAGTTCGCTCATGGCACTGAAAACTTGAGAGTCTCCAATTATGAAGTCGATCCTATGCTTACTGCCATCCTTGTTGGCAACAAAGGTATAGTCCTCCTCAGGCCCCAGGAAGGTGTTCGCAGCCTTCAGCTTGTTATCATACATCCATTCCTTTAACTTCCTACTCCCCTGGGACTCCATGCCTTTCATGCCTTTAGTGCCCGCCACGTCATCCTCACCCCCAGGACCCTCCATGTGGCAGTTGCCATCCACAAAACAAATCTGGGGGCTCCATTTTTCCGAGACCTGTCTGAGATCGCTCCAGAACTTGCGTTTTTCTTCAGCGCTGTTCGCTGAATGAGGCGCGTGCAAAACCATGGCAGTGACGGCAAAGCCTGGCGCGTCAAACTTGCAGACTAGGATCCGTGGGGAGGCCCAGGCAACCCGCACATGCTGCTTGCAAAAAACCAGCGGCTTACCTTTCGCCCTGCCATATGGGGTGGAGACATTAACCCAGAGTTCACACCCAAGCCCGAAGTTTTCATGTCCCCCCGCGATGCACAGCCAATCCCCACTCCTCCTCGTTCCTTGCTCGTTCCTGCCCTCTTGCACCCCAAGCAAGACGACCCCCCTCTGATGCATCTGCGACCTGAGGGCCGCCGCCCTCCTCGCCCTGTTCCTCCCCTTGGTCCCTCGACGGTAGACTTGTCGCATAGACTGCACATTAAAAGTAGCCGCTCTCATGTCGACATCAATGGGGGTGGTCTTGATTCGCGTCTGAGTTTCAGTTTGCTCGGTGGCACCGGTTGCGACACAAGCTGGAAGTCCAGCTTCTATCACTAGGTTGCCACCAGTAACACTGAACTCTGGGTATGCATGCGCATCCCTATCCAATGAGTGGCACCACTCCCACAAACGCGAGTTCTCAAACCTAATCGCTTGAACCCAGCTCTAAGGAAGGTCTCGCGCCTCGGGGAGCAGTTTTCTAGCCGTCGACTTGGCTATGTTGTCAGCCAGTATATTCCAGGGGTGTCCCTCATGAGCTTTTACGTGTGAGATCATTATGTCGTTCTTGGCAGCACAAAGGTCCCAGGCCACCTGAACAAGTTGAGCAAGCTTAAAATCTGACATTGGCAGCCCTGAGCCCACTGCCGCTCGTATAGTGCTTATCGAGTCGCTGTCAAGCGTGATGCTGCATTGAGGCTGCTCAACTAGCACCCACATGAGGGCCCACAACACTGCGAGGCACTCAAGCGTGGTGCTGGTGGCCACTGATGGCACCAGTCCCATCGCATTGCTAGAAGCAAGTTCCCCTCTTATCGCGCCCCCATAGGTACATGTACACTCCTCCTCTCTCTAAGATCCTTACTACCGCCCATGCCCCCTTCCCTTCCCCTCTCTGGTATAAGGAGCCGTCGGTGAAAAAGTGGATCGCCGTAATCTCGTCTGCCAAATCGCAGTGAGGGTAAGCCCTCAGAGCTGCCTCGGCCTCCTGCTCCAAAACTCCTGTGGCCTGCAACTGCTCGAGCGTTGAAAGTTCAAATGGCAAACGCTCACCTGCAATTGACTGCTCAATCAATGGCAATGCTCTCTCCGCAAGTTTGACACGGGGCCCCGACTGCGAGACACTGGAGGCTAGCCCAGGAGCCCACTCACTGGACGCATCACTCGTTCCGCCTGCCACAGACGTGGTTGCCGAAGTAGCCCCCCTTTGCAACGATGTCGGCCCCTCTGCAAGTGCATGAGCCGCTTGATTTCTCTGCGCAGGCCGCACACCGTCGCACCTCGAATTAGGAGTATTGTATTTGTTGGATCTGGAGCCTCCAACTCTGGACAAAAAGTCTCTGCCTCCCAAGATAGATGCAGGAACAACTGTAACCCTTCCAGGACCCAGGGTATTGAATTCAGTGGCGTTGTTTTCTAGGATAGGTGCCCAGCTCACCTGCTTCCTCGCGCGCCCCCAACAGCTCCTTCCACCTTGGCCGCCTTCGACGGCGGCGACCTGATCTCCGACTCCTGCGAGACCAGGTTGATATTGGACACAACTGGCGCTCTCTCCCAGGCTGTCGGTGTCGCTGATGAGGCTGATCCCGATCCCGCGGCTGCCGCTGCCGCGCACATCTCGTCGATCCTCCTGCACTCCTGGGTGAATGAGTTCTTGTCTGGGCTCTCCATCTTCGTCTCTGTCACGGAAGTCTGCGGCGCCGCATTCCCAAGCAGATACGGATCTTCCTGCGAAAGCCCAGAGATCCACGGTTCCGTAGGCGTGATTGGTGAAGGAGTTGGTCCTCTCTGCGGCTTCTGGTCGCTCCTCGGTTTCTCCATCGGTTCGTCTTTTGCGGGCGTCGGCGCAGGCTCTGTTGGGGTCAGTAGCGGCTGGGCTGCCCACCCCATTGGCGATGCCTGAGCCGCTGGAATGCTCGGAGTAGAAGTTCCTCCTATCGGTGTCCTCGGTACTGGCAGTCCCGTAGGCGTTCTCATTCCCGTCGTTGGCGGTGTCGTCGGCGCCGCCACTGCTGGTCCACTCTGCGGCTGTCCCCCTCCACCAGATCCCATACAACCGCTGGTAAACCCCGCAGTCTGATTCTGAATCCAACCCATCATTGAAGATACCACTTGTTCCTGTTGCTGCTGTCGATCGCTCATGTTCTTTAGGAATTGCAATACCTGGGCCGTCATGTCGCTGCTGATCGTGTTGGGGTCGGACTGCTGCTGCTGCATTTGCGGCGGTAAGCTCGACTGCTGCTGTACTCCATTCATCGATCCTGCCGCATATGATTGAGCCGTGCCCTTTCCCATTGCCGGCTGTTGACCCATGTGTGGTGTCTGATACTGTTGTTGAGGGAACATCTGCTGCAAACCATTTTGCTGCTGAAACTGCTGCTGGGGTGGTGGCTGTTGCTGCTGCTGCTGCTGCTGCTGCTGCGGCAAGCCTCCAAAAGCGCCAACTGTCTCTCCAGCCGTTCCTGCTCCCATGAAATCGTCCTCCTCTTCTGGTAGTTCGGATAGTTCTCGATGGCAACTCTCTAACTGCGCAATCTCCAGTTCGATTTCGTATTCCTGGTCCTTCAGGTCTCGCATCCTCGACTGTGTGGCTGTCATTCTGTCTCTTGCCTTTTCCAGTTTGAAACGGATGTCGTCTTTCTGCTTCTTTAACGGCTGGAGTGCAGATAGACAAGTCTTGAGCACCTTCAGCTCCATGTCGTGCTTCTCCGCGTCCTCGACCTTTCCAGCCTTCCTCGCGTACAGCGCAATGGAGGCTATGTTGTTGAGCTGGTGCTCGATCTCGTTCTTGTAGAACTGCACCTCCTGAGGCCTCTGCATCGACGGCTGTGGTCGATACGCAGAGTGGGTAGCTGCAGCCCTCAGCGGCAATGGCGGGAGCTTCTGAACGTACGCCTTCAAACTCGACTGCTCCTGCTGCTTCTCCCTGGCAGCCGACTGACTCCTCGCTCTGCCGTTGCCGTTGTTGCTGTAGTGTTGGCCACAAACACCTCGAATGCCAATTCTTGACGTTCCTGGAGCACTGGGAACATTTCCAGGTATTGTGGTAGACCATCTGCGCACTGTGATGCTGCTGTAATCTCTCGTAAGCCTGGTGGATAGAGGCAATCACTCGCGCCTGATGACGCTGATGTCTGGCTCTCCTGTGCCACGCTGGGCTGTTCGCCCTCGCTGAGAAGAGATTCGAAATGATTCGTATTCTTTGCAATGACTGTGAAAAAGGGGGTCGCGGCGCCTGGATGGCACACGCTTGGGGTTCAGGCCTGTATGTTGGAGAACGTACAGTCTCAGGTGTGCTCCTGCGCTCAGGCCAAACTCCTCCTCCTCCTCCTCCTCCTCCTCCTCCTCCTCCTCCTCCTCCTCCGCCTCCTCCTCCTCCTCCTCCTCCTCCTCCTCCTCCTCCTCCTCCTCCTCCTCCTCCTCCTCCTCCTCCCCCTCCTTCTCCTCCTCATCCTCCTCATCTTCCCCCCGTCCAAGGTGCTCAACGAGCACGGCGCCGCCGTCCGCAAGGCCTCCACGTGGAGGAGCCGCTTCCTGAGCCTGCGCTCCCTCGTGGCGCGGAGGCTGGCCAAGCGCCTGCTGCAGGTGCAGATGTTCGCGGAGCGGCCGGGGGGGGATCGTGAGAGGGGGGGTAGGGGTTTAGGGGTTGGCGAGCAGGCGTTCGATGGAGGGGTGATGCGAGCGCTGCGAGCCACAACATCGCGGGCGCTGTCTGTAACCTCGCGACTGCGCGCCCCGTCACCGCGCGGGCGGTGGAAAAATGCCAGAGCGCCTGCGCAGGGCAGGGCGGCAACGACGCAACGTCACAGTCGTCGGAGGAACAACTGCCGGCGGCGGCCACGCGCAGAGGGGGGTCAGGGGGAGGGGGGGAAAGGCTTCTTAGAAGCACCCTGCTTCTTAGGAGGCGCAGGCCTCATCTGCAGATGTAAGGCCGGCGCCTTCTAAGAAGCAGCCTCCTTCAAGAAGCCTTCCCCCCTCCCCCTCCCCCCTTGTGCGAGCCGTCGAAACTCCTGGGAGCCTTGCATCTTTGTGGGCCCTGGCCGTTTTTTCCTAACAGCGAAGATTGATAGGTTTCTAATGGGGTCAAAAGAGAGCATCTGATGACTCCCCAGGGGAGTCTGGGCGGGAGCCGGACAGGCGAGGGCCGGGCTCGCTTTAGGCAAACAGTCGCACACTTCGTGCTCTTCGACCTCCCAGAACTCCATTCCCGGGCCACATTTGGAATGCCCGGAGCCAACTGTAAGCCGCTTCGTGCTCTTCGACTTCCCAGAATTCCATTCCAGGGCCACATTCGGAATGCCCGGAGCCAACTGTAGGCCACTTCGTGCTCTTCGACTTCCCAGAACTCCATTCCCGGGCCACATTTCGGATGCCCGGAGCCAACTGTAGGCCACTTCGTGCTCTTGGATTTCCCAGAACACCATTCCCGGGCCACATTCTGGATGCCCGGAGCCAACTGTAGGCCACTTCGTGCTCTTGGACTTCCCAGAACACCACTCCCGGGCCACATTTTGAATGCCCGGAGCCAACTGTACGCCACTTCGTGCTCTTCCACTTCCCAGACTTCCAAGACTCATCATCTTCATCATCATCATCGTCCCCGTAGCCTTCTTGGCTACAGCCCTGCTTTCGAAGATTTTCTTTCAAAGGAACTGCGCAGCGCCTACTGCGCACCTTAATGCCAGGACATGCTGATAGTTCTCGGTCTGGCGGCGGTGCTCCTGACCCTGCTGCATTGAACAGCGGTGCTCCTCAGCCTGCGGCAGGGAACAGCGCTGCTCCTCAGCGTGCTGCATTGAGCGGTCCTCTGCAAACGTTCGTCGAGCACGTGAAGCAGTTCGGCCGGATACCGAAGCGAAATAAAGGAACGTCCGAACAAGAACTGGCCGAAAACAAGTTGGCCAAACGTTTTTCGGACCATCGCGACCGCATCCTCAAAGACATTTTGCATGAACTGCGGGCCCTGGGCTGTGCTGATCAGCAGACGGAGACCGAGGAGCTCGAGCGGAAGCAGAAGACCGAGGAGCTCATGCAGCAAAAGCGAGACAAGACCGAGGAGCTCATGCAGCAAGTGCGAGACCTCGGCCGCCACCCGAAGGAGTATGCCGGGCGTAGCCTCGCAGAGCGGCAGCTGGCAGAGAAAGTCCGGAAAGCACGGAAGCCAACCAGTTCTCCCCGGAGCACCCCGGTGGAGACTCAGGTCTTACGGGTCCGTGCCCATACTACTACTACTACTACTACTACTACTACTACTACTACTACTACTACTACACTACTACTACTACTACTCCTACGACTACTACTACCACTACTACACTACTACTACTACTACTACTACTACTACTACTACTACTACTACTACTACTACTACTACTACTAGTACTAACTACTACTACTACTACTTCTACTACTACTACTAGTACTACTACTACTACTACTACTACTACTACTACTACTACTACTACTACTACTACTACTACTACTACTACTACTACTACTACTACTACTACTACTACTACTACTACTACTACTACTAATACTACTACTACTACTACTACTACTACTACTACTACTACTACTACTACTACTACTACTATTACTACTATTACTACTACTACTACTACTACTACTACTACTACTACTACTACTACTACTACTACTACTACTACGACATCACACTAAATCCATTCATGGGGGTGCCTGTTTTGGAGCTACATTCATTGATGCAAGTGTGTCGTTTGAGTCTCGACCCGTTGATAGCAGTGTCCCGTTTGGAATCACATCCGTTGATAGCAGTGTCTTGCTCAGACCTCCATGCGTTTACACAAAGATCTCATTTGGAGATACCGTTATCGAAAGCAGTGTTTCTACTGCCGCTACCACTGCTCCCATCACTCCTACTCGTTCACTCCACGCGCTACAACTACTACTTCACTGTTACCACTACTACCATCACTACTACTGCTGCTACTACTGTTACTATTACTGCTATTGCTGTTGTTGCTGCTGCTAGTGTAGGTATTGCTACTGCAATTACTGGCAGTGCCATTGCGACTGCCGCTGACGTTGCCACTGCGACTACCACTGCGAATCCGAATGCGACTGCGAGAACACCAGAATTCTACAACAGCGCTCTTACACGAATACCGCAGGCAATGTTTCCAGCTATGCTTCTACACGTCGCTGTTAGGTTGCTTTGCCGGGATAATTTTCACCGCTTCCACTTTGTAATTTGTTCGCTGGATCCGGTGCCGTTTTTTCTCGGTTCCGTCGCCGTTTCCTGCCCAGTTCCAGTTCCAACGCAGGAACATTTCCGTTTCGGGAAAAACGGCCCCGTCGATTCCGCGGCCAACTAAACCCGGCATGTCCTCGAGATCCCGCTTTTAGGGTGCATGAGCACGCGCTGGCGTCTGGCAGTCGATGGGAGGCGCTGATTTTGCGTCGATGACCGCCATTTGGAATAGATGGGCTGCGACCAGCGTTAATTCGCAAGAGCCAGCAAAACGATCTAAGACGATATGGACTGCCCCCACGATTTGCTACAACGAGAATGCTCGAAGACGAGCGCTCCGCCGCCAGATGCCCCCCCCCGCCGCTCTCGCCTTCGAGCCGGCGAGGAAAACGAGAGCCAGAGCCCGGCATCCTTGCAAAAGCAGCGCCTTCTGCGCCAGGGTGGTTCTCCAGGTACTGCTCGCGCGCCATCGTCGCCCCCCTGCTCCGGATCGACCTGCGCCCTCGTCCCCATCACTCGTCGCCGTCTCCGCACTCGTCGTCGTCGTCGCTGCCGACCTCGTCTGTTTTCTTCCTCGCCCTCCCGCCGCCCTCGCCCTCGTATACGCGGGGGGGGAGAGAAAGGCGCAAGGCTCAGGAGGGGAAAAAACACAGACACAATTAATCGTCGACCCCCAGGAAAATATGGGAAGTGGGGGGGAAGACAGAAACCCAGAAAATATTTGAAAATATTGGGCATCTTTTTATTTGTGTGTATTTATTTGTGTGTCCGAGGGCCCCTTCATCCTGATCGGCCTGCGCCCTCGTCCCCATCACTCGTCGCCGTCTCCGCACTCGTCGTCGTCGCTGCCGCCCTCGTTGTCCTCTTCCACGCCCTCCCGCCGCTCCCGCCCTCGTGCGCGGGGGAAGGGAGAGAGAGGCGCGAGGCGCAAGCGCCAACCTCCCGAGGTCCGCACGAACTCCTCGTCCTCCTCCTTTTCCTCCTCCTCCTCCTCCTCCTCCTCCTCCTCCTCCTCCTCCTCCTCCTCCTCCTCCTCCTCCTCCTCCTGGAGAATGGTTATGAGAGAAACCCACCTGGGCGACGCAGCGAAAGTGTGGTCGTCCTCACCAGCGTTGGCGCGCGGGCTCGCGCGTAAGCGTCCTCGTTGCCAGTGTGCCATGCCGGGCTGGCGGCCCGCGCAGGCGCCGCCGCGCATGGTCGCCGTGTCGTCTCGCGCAAGGCTCACCTGGCGGCGCCCACGACGCCGTTGCCGACGCGCGGCCGCGTGCTGGGGAGGGAGGGGGGGGGTCCAGCGCCGATCCGAGAGGTCCGTGGGGACCTCCGAAAGTTTGTGCCCGTGTCGGCTGACAGGTCCCCCCTTGCGCCGCCCTCGCGTCCGAGCCTCCGCAATGTGGTGTCCGTGCAGGGGTCACGCAGAGGTTCCCTCTCCTTTTGTTGCCAGCTGCCTCTCCTTTGCCGCCCTCGCCTCCGACCCTGGCTCCAGATCCGCCCTACTTTGGTTTTTTTCCAACTTAAAACTGCGTCGGAATTCCACCTAATAGAGGCCGAAAAAGTAGGGCGGAAATTTCTGCACCCAACATAAAGTAGGGCGGACATCCACAGAAGTAGGGCGGAAAAAGCAGCAGAAATGAAGGGCGGAAATTGGCATCAGCGGGCCTAAAAGTAGGGCGGAAATTCCAAGCCCTACCTACGAACTTCCCCAAAGCGGATCCTGAGTCAGGGGAGGGCCTCCTCCCGCTCGTCGCCCCGGCGGCCCTGGCCGGAGCGAGGCGCCCCAAGGAGAGGTCTGGGGCGTGCGGCGGGCTCGTCCCGTGGGCCGAAGACGGCGGCGGCCTTGGCGCGGCTCGGCCGTCGTCGTCGGCGTCGCCGTCGCCGTCGTCGTCGCCGTCGTCGCCGTCGTCGTCGCCGTCGCCGTCGTCGTCGCCGTCGCCGTCGCCGTCGCCGTCGTCGTCGCCGTCGCCGTCGCCGTCGTCGTCGTCGTCGCCGTCGTCGCCGTCGTCGCCGCCGTCGCCGTTGTCGTCGTCGCCGTCGCTGTCGTCGTCGTCGTCGTCGCCGTCGCCGTCGTCGTCGTCGCCGTCGCCGTCGTCGTCGTCGTCGTCGTCGTCGAGCGCCAGCCGGTCCAGGCCTTCCAAGTTTGGGCCTCAGGGCGGAACGCGAGGCTCAGGGGGGGGAAGGCTCGGGGGGGTGGGGGGGAGCCAGGCTCAGGGAGGAAATGCTCTCTCGAGGCTTCGGGCGTTTTCGCCGGGTGCCCGGATCGCCCACGATGGCCGCCGGAGGGCCGTGGCCCGAAAGCCAAGGGATTCCTTTTTGTTTCTCGAGGACTCGGGCCTCCCAATTTGGGTCCGAGTGGATGGGGTCGCAGGATCGCGCCGCATCGCCGATGCATCGCCGACGCGGCTCGATGCGGAGCCCACTCTTTTTCCTACGCCGACGGCGCCGATGCATCGGCGATGCAGCGCGGTCCTCCGACCCCTCTTCTCGAATCTGAATTGGGAGGCCTTCTGCCAGTGGCTCGGCACGCGCCGACATCAAACGATCCGCCCAAGCGAAGAGCCGCGATCGTTCGAGACTGATCGATCCGCGCACTGTCAACAACCGGGACAGACCTTGTCAGTGCACGAACCTGCCGTGGCGGGATCCGTATTCTCATGTCTCGAACGACGGACAAAGCAATTTCAATGTTCGGAGCTTCGCGCGGATTTTTTGATCTGGGTTGGACACCCCTCCCTGGCGCGCGGAGGGTTGTCGCCAGAGGCGCCGCCAGAGAACGCTCATGTTTGTGTAGTCTGTTTTTCCTGCACAGGAGCTGGACGTCCGAGAGGTCGTGGAGCTCATCCAGACCGCGATGTCCAAGGAGCACTACAATGCGGGCGACGTCATCATCTCCCACGAGACCAGCAACAGCGGGCTCTTCTTCGTCATCAGCGGCGTCGTCAGGCCTCTTACTTGGGACACGTGTTCATACATACATACATATATACATACATCGGAGGTTGGGGGGCGCGAACGGAAGTGACCCCAACCGGGAAATCGGTGTCGGTTCGTGTCGTGCGGGCGGGCGAGGCGAAGCTGCGCGAGGTCCTACACTGGTAGAGGCCACATGGAGCCCAAAGGGTCGCCTCCTCCCGCCCCCGGGCCCGCCACCCGATGGTTGTCCCGCGGGTTGTCCCGATGGTTGTCCCGATGGTGGTCCCGCGGGTTGTCCCGATGGTTGTCCCGATGGTTGTCCCGATGGTTGTCCCGATAGTTGTCCAGATGGTTGTCCCGATGGTTGTCCCGATGGTTGTCCCGATGGTTGTCCCGATGGTTGTCCCGATGGTCGTCCCGATGGTTGTCCCGATGGTTGTTTCGATGGTTGTCCCGATGGTTGTCCCGATGATGGTCCCGATGATTGTCCCGATGGTTGTCCCGATGGTTGTTCCGATGGTTGTCCCGATGGTTGTCCCGATGGTCGTCCCGATGGTTGTCCCCCGAGTCCCGATGGTCGTCCCGATGATCCGATGGTTGTCCCCGATCCCGATGTTGTCCCGATGGTTGTCCCGATGGTTGTCCCCCCCGATGGTTGTCCCCGTCCCGATGGTTGTGGTTGTCCCGATGGTTGTCCCGATGGTTGGTGGGTGTCCCGATGGTTGTCCCGATGTTGTCCCGATGGTTGTCCCGATGGTTGTCCCTATGGTTGTCCCGATGGTTGTCCCGATGGTTGTCCCGATGGTCGTCCCGATGGTTGTCCCGATGGTTGTCGAGATGGTTGTCCCGATGGTTGTCCTGATGGTTGTCCCGATGGTTGTCTGGATGGTTGTCCCGATGGTTGTCCCGATGGTTGTCCCGATGGTTGTCCCGTTGGTTGCATCGATGGTTGTCCCGATGGTTGTCCCGATGGTCGTCCCGATGGTTGTCCCGCGGGTTGTCCCGATGGTTGTCCCGGTGGTTGTCCCGATGGTTGTCCCCATGGTTGTCCCGATGGTTGTCAGGATGGTTGTCCCGATGGTTGTCCAGATGGTTGTCCCGATGGTTGTCCCGATGGTTGTCCCCAAGGTTGTCCCGATGGTTGTCCCGAAGGTTGTCCCGATGGTGTCCCGATGGTTGTCCCGATGGTTGTCCCGATGGTTGTCCCGATGATTGTCCGATGGTTCCCGACGGTTGTCCCGATGGTTGTCCGATGGTTGTCGATGGTTGTCCCGATGGTTGTCCCGATGGTTGTCTTGATGGTTGATGGTTGTCCCGATGGTTGTCCCGATGGTTGTCCCGATGGTTGTCCCGATGGTTGTCGATGGTTGTCCCGATGGTGTCCCGATGGTTGTCCCGATGGTTGTCCCGATGGTTGTCCCGATGGTTGTCCCGATGGTTGTCCCGCGGTTGCCCCGATGGTTGTCCCGACGGTTGTCCCGATGGTTGTCCCGATGGTTGTCCCGATGGTTGTCCCGATGGTTGTCCCGATGGTTGTCCCGATGGTTGTCCCGATGGTTTTCCCGATGGTTGTCCCGATGGTTGTCCCGATGGTCGTCCCGATGGTTGTCCGGATGGTTGTCCCGATGGTTGTCCCGATGGTTGTCCCGATGGTCGTCCAGATGGTTGTCCCGATGGTTGTCCCGATGGTTGTCCCGATGGTTGTTCCGATGGTTGTCCCGAGGGTTATCCAGATGGTTGTCCCGATGGTTCTCCCGATGGTTGTCCGGATGGTTGTCCCGATGGTTGTCCTGATGGTTGTCCCGATGGTTGTCTTGGTGGTTGTCCCGATGGTTGTCCCGATGGTTGTCCCGATGGTTGTCCCGATGGTTGTCCCGATGGTCGTCCCGATGGTTGTCCCGATGGTCGTCCCGATGGTTGTTCCGATGGTTGTCCCGATGGTTGTCCCGATGGTTGTCCCGATGGTTGTCCCGATGGTTGTCCCGATGGTTGTCTGGATGGTGGTCCCGCGGCTTGTCCCGATGGTGGTCCCGCGGCTTGTCCCGATGGTTGTCCCGATGGTTGTCCAGATGGTCGTCCCGATGGTCGTCCCGATGGTTGTCCTGATGGTTGTCCCGACGGTTTTCCCAATGGTTGTCCCGATGGTTGTCCCGATGGTTGTCCCGATGATTGTCCCGCGGGTTGCCCCGCGGGTTGTCCCGATGGTTGTCCCGATGGTTGTCCCGATAGTTGTCCCGATGGTTGTCCCGATGGTTGTCCCGATGGTTGTCGCGATGGTTGTCCCGATGGTTGTCCCGATAGTGTTTCCGATGGTGCCCCTTCAGCACTTGCGGCGCCTGCCGCCGCCAAGTAGTGCGCGGGCAAATAAAAGCCACTTGCGCGCGCCTGGTGAACAGAAAAAAGAAGCGCAAACAAATGTCACCCACTACCGCTCGCTGCCACAATGTACGGGGCAGGTAAATAAATGCCACCCGTTATCGCCCGATGCGCAACAGCGTGGCTACAAGGATGCACGTGCGACTTGACCCCGCCAGCAACCGCCAAAGAGCGCGCGGGCGCGCGCCCCGCCCACTTGCACCGAGCGCAAAGAAGAAACAGCACAGGCAAACAACTACTGCCTACCATCGCTTGCTGTCACAAAGCCAAGGGCAGGCAAATTAATGCCACCTGTCATCGCCAGTTTCGCAATAGCGCGGCTGCAAAGAAATAAATGCCACTTCCTCGCGCCTGGGGCGAAGAAAAAGCATCGGCATCTAAATGCCACATGCTTTGCCCACTGCCAGCGCGCAGCGGGCGGGCAAATTTATGCCGCGTGCTTCTGCCTGCTGCCAGCGAGGAAGGGCCAGCCAAATAACAATGAAAGGGGAGCCGGGCACATGAATGCGAATGCGCGGTCTTCCCACGCTGCTGCCGCTGAGTTGCATTCGCCATTGCGTTGCCACACTGCTGTCGCTGAGTTGCAGTCGCCACTGTGTCTCCACGCTGCTGCCATTGAGTTGTACTCGCCAGCACAAGCGCGGGGCGCTGCGCCCGCAATCCTGCGACGCCGCCCCGGCGCGCCGACGCGACAGCGCTGGCGCCGTGGCTTCGGCTTCCGGCGCTCCCCCAACGCAGCCCCCAGTCTCTGGCGGGGCTCGCGGCTGCCGAGGAGCACGTGGCCCAGCGCCATGCGCCGGGCGCGTCCTGGCTCGTCGCGCTTAGCAACCACGCCTTGGCTCGCCCGAAAGCGTTGCGGGGGGGGGGGGGCAGTTGGCGGGGCGCGGAGGGCGGCCGGCCTGGTGCCAACAAGCAAGGGGTGGGGAAACACATGCCACTTACTTCTGCCTGCAACCGCGAAAGCGGAGCTGGGCAAATAAGTGTCACATTTCCGCTTTCCAGACGCGTTGTTACCACGCTGTTGCCATTGTGTTGCCGCTGTGTTGCCGCTGCGTCGCCGTTGATTTGCATTCGCCGCTGCGTTGCGCTCGCCCGCGGCTATCGCACTCGCTGCCACCGATATCCGCAGCTGTCTCGGCACTGCGCTCGCAGCTACCAGCTACTGCTCATATTGCCGCTGCTGCCAGCGCGCCCCAGCGGGGGCGGCGGGCTTCGCCGCCGCCGCAGCTGCCAACAGCCATGCCTCCCCAGAATGCGGAGGCGCATAAGAAGATGAACGCAAATACGGGGAAGCGTGCAAAATGGCATGTTCGCGTGATTGATCCCAAAGTCAAAGACTACAGTTTCCAATCGCGCGGCGAGGCCGCTCAGGCGAAAAAAATGAGTGCGCACTGATGTCGCAGGACCCGTCTCAGTATATGATGGGCCTCGTCCCTTTTGAGTTCAAGAATCGCCGGGCTGCTCCCGATGCGGAAGCAACGCTTGTCAGCAACAGCGCGCGGGAGATCGCATCGCTGGCGTTCGATGCCAGGGGGGAGCCGGATTAGAATGGGTGCCCGCTGAAGGCTGTTCTCTCGTTGACAGCTCCCGCGCAACTGATAGACTGAGAGAGGTCACGTCCGAGTTTCAAGCTGCTTACGCTCACCCTGCTTGCGGGCTACAGGTTCCGCTCGACATCGAGGGCATCGCGCGGGCGGTCCAGCGCGCAGTCTTTGCCGCGCGCCCCAGTGGGAGATTTGACTTCTGCGGGGAACGCGTTGATCTTACGTATCAAAAGGAAGTGACGTCCTTGGGCGGCGGTGGCGGCAGTGTTGCTGCGAGCGCGCTGGGAAGCGCCCGCCGCGCCCTGGCTCGCATAGAGGCGGGGGGCGGCGCGGCCGTCGTCGGCTGTGCCGCGACGGTGGGAAATGGCCATGTCAGGTTGACCGCGCGGCCCAGTGCGCACGCGTGCGCCGACGGTGCCCAGGCCGCAGGTTTCATGGGCTTGGACGCGTCCGCCGCGGCCGCCGAAACGCTCGCTGCCATTTTCGCGCCAGGGCAGGACCTTGCAGGATTGGTAGCTGGCGGGGCTCCCCCGACCCGCGCTGCGGCGCTGGGCGATGCAGTTCCGAGGGGGGCGCCGATCGCATGCGAGATCAACCGCTGCGTGCGGGGGCCACCGCCAGAGGAGGACCTCATCTTTGCCAAGGACGGGCGCCCTTTTATCAAGGACTGCCAGCTTCGGGGCGGGACAGGCGGCGCGGATGTCGACGTCGCGCACGCCGGAGTGCCGATCTTGTTTGGCTGCGCCGCGGGAGAGGAGTTAAAACGTTCGCGGCGCCTTGCGCGACGGGGGGGGCGTCGCGCGGAGGCGCGTCGCGACGGCGGAGATCGCGCCGCCGAACGCGGCCGTCTCTGCCGGGGCCGCGCGTCTCAGCGCAAGTGCACGCGGCATTTCCGGTGGCGTCGCGCGCCCCGGCCCAGCATCTCGGCTCTGCGATGCCCCTGTGATCAGAGGCGCTTGCGCGGGGCAACGGCGAACCTCTTGGCGCCCGTCGGGCGTTGCCGCTGGTCCGCCGCCCAGGCGACTGACTGCGACGGCGTCGACGAGTCGCTTCCGATGCTCCAGCGCGTGTTCAAGATCACATCCAAGAGCGCCCAGTGCCTTCTGAGCG